ATTTTGAAAGGTCTCGCCCTAGATTTTCTTGAGGATTTTATAAGAAATAGTTGGTTGTTAAGCAAACAGGTGGCTTGAATTTTCTCCTATTTCCAAACCATATATAAGTCAACCTCATATATAAGGTCTTGAGGTCATAATTATGGATTTTGATATGACCTGTGGATAAATTGAGAATCATTCCGCAGAGAAGGAAAAACACCAATGCCACATTGGGGTTAGCTAAACCTGGCTGTTACTGCCATTTCCCTGCCCAGGCATTTAAAAATGCCAGAAGCGGCATCATGTTGGAGAGATCAAAGGAGGTCAATCTCTCTTTTAGGTTCTCACTCTCTATTTTGGCACTTTGCTCAGAGAATGGGATGGTTCTTTTTTGATAAAGTACAGTAGGCAAATGGACCCATGGATAAATTGAGTCAGGTTTTTGAGTTGATTTTTTTGACTAGAATTTCTACACTTATACATGGGTACATGGGTAACTCTTTTACCTCCAAGAAAATGAAATGGTCAGGAGACTTGGGAGGAATGGCTGGTGGGCATTTGTTGTTTCTCCAAATCTAAGTTGTATGAGGCAGTTTCTTGTATCTGCCTAATGGTGGATTTGATTGGGCACAAAGTATATAGTGAAATATCTTACGTTGCAAAGAATTTCCTCAAAATTTTAATTGTGCTACCTGAAAGGAAGAAAAAACTACCTTAATTTCCTTCGAGCTATAGTTTGGGGAAGAATGAACTCATTTCTTGTGCCTATAAGTATCCTCGAGCCATTAATCATTTCTCAAAATTAAGCCTGCAGGCTTTCATGTGAGACATATAAACTGGATACTGCTTCTCCCGAGGAGTTAAGCCCTAAGGACAACTATTTGTCAAAAACATGTATGCAGAAGTTATTCTTCTTCAGTTCAAATGACATCAATTCTTTAAATTTGCCTGTCACAACTTTGTGAATTTTAAATACATAATTTCATCGCATTGCGAGACAGACTGAACTCCTATCTGTCAGCCCCAGCTTCCCATGCACAGACATAAGAGAAGCCTCCCACAGGATGGTAATGCATATGGACTTCCCCTGGGCAATGTCTCTGTTGACAGCCGATTCTCTCACACCAGAAGGGACTGGCAGTGTATTTTGAATTTGCTTCTGACACAATAAAAATCACATAATAATTGCACTTTTGCCCCTTCAAAAAAAGGTGTGTGTGTGACTATTATGGGAGGAAAAAAGGGCTTTTGTGGTAGACAAACAATAATCCACCCGCCCATGCATTCACTCACTCATCCATTTGCTCACCTAACCCCTTCCAGGGATGCTGCTTGAAGTGGTGTTCCTGGAAAGGTGGGCTGAGTGGATGAATAGGCATGCAAGTAACTGAGCAAGTGAGTGCATGAGTGAATAGGTGGCTGGGTGGTCAAGTGAGTGAATCAGAATGCTAGACAGCTGTGAGGTGGTCTAAATCATAAGTGTGACTATTATGCAAGTTATCGTAATTGTCCTTTCACAGATACTATATCCACAGATTTAACTATCCATGACTTAAAAATATTCCTTGTCCCCCTTGAAAAATCCAAATAGCAAACCTTTATAGTGGAGACACAATTTCACCATGCTCTTGTATGTAGTGGGACTTGAGCATTCACAGATTTTGGTATCCGTGGATGATGCTAGAACCAAATCCTAGCAGATAAAAATGGTCCACTGTAATCCTTATGGAAAAAAATGTTAAATAAATAAATCAACCATGAAGTACAGACTTCAGTAATACTTCTCTGCATACCTTATTTTGTATGTGCTAGCATTGTTGCAAAAAGCCGTATAAAATATTTTGACTTATCAGAAATAGGGAGACACATGAATGAATTGTTAGTATTTATTTATTTATTTACAGTTTTTATATTCCACCCTTCTCACCCCGCAGGGGCTTTTGCTATATATAGCAATTTGAAGGTGCTCCCTTGAATCTTATTTGTCATGGTTATGGTAGATTATGAACATAATTGTGATTTTAATTAATGGAATTGTGGTTGAAGAAAACAATTTCATTTTGTGCCTAGTTTCTGATTTGTGAAATGACTCAGTTGATGAATCATCTGTCCGTTGATGAACATTTCTTTTTAATTTGGTTTACGTGTGTATTCCATGCACCTTCATAAAACACCACAGATATTTCTCTTCCTACTCACTATAATGTTCATACAGTAATTCCGCAAAATCATGGCACTGTTAAAGCAAAAAAATCACCCCCCCCCCCATAAAAATGAAGGTATCGATATGATGTTGTGATTTTTATTTCCTTAGATTTTTCTCTGCTACCTCTCTGGCTGTCTTCTTTTCTGAATCTTTGGAATGGGAATCTTATTTTTCCAGTATGTCAGAATATATGTGAAGTAAGTCAATTTTCAGTGTTGTGAAAAGTTGAATGTAGGTCATGTTAGCTATGTTTTTACCAATCAAGTAATGGATTGAAGTGAAAAATGTTGTCTATTCTATCTTCTGTTGATAAATCTGACCATGACTTTGAATCACAGACAGTTGGTCAGTCTTTCACCATCATTATAATCAGCAATCCTGCATCATCTGACAATGGTAATTGAATTAATGGCTCTAATAATTATGCAAATTTTGGTTTGAATGGTCACATTTTATATGTTGCATATTATCATAATGCATAACATGCATATCGTGACTCTGTGTGTATTCAGAATTGGTCAGGATGTCTGATTGTATAGCCACACATCATTTCTACATGAAGAAATAGGATTTGAAGCATAGCAAAATGGGGGAAAGGATTTATTTCACAACAGTGTTTATATTGTTGAAATGACCTAGATTCTCGATGGTTCAGGAGAAAGCTGGAATGAGCAGAAACGCTTGGGTACGTTCATGAGACAAACTCAGGACATGCAAGAGTTGCCCATCCAGTTCAACAGGACTGGATGGTCTGTGATACATTAGATTTTGGTCTTTGAGAGCCCCTTCTGTTCTCTGCTTTTGGACAACAACAACTTCAAGGCTGAACACAAAGTTGTTCTTCCTCTCCAAACCAATGATAGGAAAAGAAGCAGATTATTTTGAGTCAAATATTTTCCCCCTTTCCCCATATTCTTCCACAAGTACAGCATCTGAACTGTAGGATTATATAACATTTCAGGTTTACCTGAGCAATGAGAAGTTCAGGCTTCCTTTTGGAGAAGGGGTGTTGATGGTGATAATTAACAATGTTATTTATTCTCCACATTTTGCCCAGAATTGGTGCTCAAAGCAACTTGATTACAATATAGTCTTTTCTCCAAGATTATGACTCAAGAAAGCTTACTGGATAAGAACCCTGTAGTACCCCACAGGCCAATAACCAAAGAATCAAACAGCATCACTTTTTTGGGTTTACTCTTCCAGGTGTGAATGAACAATGTGAAATTGTATCTCTAACATAAACTGAAAGTATATAAGTGATATCAAAATCTTTTGCAGTGCTCCAGCAGGACCAACTAACCAACTTATTCCCGTACTTGACTTCCAGTGGAAATCATTCACTAAAGCAGGCATGGGCAAACTTCAGCCCTCCGGGTGTTCTGGACTTCAACTCCCACATTTCCTAACAGCCTACCTGCTGTTAGGAATTGTGGGAGTTGAAATCCAAAACACCTGGAGGGCCGAAGTTTGCCCATGCCTGCACTAAGGCCGTTTCTGCTCCATAACCAGGCCTGAGGGTACATTGAAATGGATCTAGATAATTCATCGCATCCATATAAACCTTTTTCAACAGGGGTCTTAAAGCTGCCTCTTTTGAAGAAGTCAGAACTGGATCTTGTTAGAGGGGTACATTAATAATTTCATTGATAGCCCAATCTCTTCTTCATTTCACTTCACTTCACTTTATTCCTTAATTAGTCGCTCTCCACCAAGGTGCTCTGAGCGACTTACAATCTAAAATAGCATTTACACAATATAAAAACATTCAACATAAAAACATTCAACAGTGACTATTTGGCAAATTAGATATGATTACTTAAATGCACAACCAAACAGCCAAGTCTTGAGTGCCTTTACAAAAGGTCGCAACTCCGACATTGCTCTAATGTATGGAGGCAATGAGTTCCACAGAATTGGAGCATAGGTTGAAAAAGCTCTACGCCTTGTAGCTTCCAGGTGTACCTCCTTTGGTCCTTTCAGTAAGCCAGAAACTGCCAGGATCTAACATAGATATATATGGTGATTTTCACTACTCCCAGGATCTAGTCCATATATTTAAGCTGTACAAGTTCCTATATTGGGGGAAGGTGGGATATTAACAAACCCTCACATGTCTATTAACATTAGATAAACACTTTTTTGCTGAAGGGGGGTGGGGGTAAGTCTCCGGGATTTATTTCTGAATAGTTAGGTAAAATCTTGCATTATAAGGTTACTTTGAAAAAGCACAAAGTGGAAATTGTAGGATTTAGCATGAATGCAATACTTTGAAGAAATTTAATCTGAAATTAAAGAAATATAATCTTTACTTATAATGTGGAATTACTTTGTGCTTATTTGGGCTGAGACTACATAGAAGACAGACTTTGAAGTGTTGACATTTTTTAATCTTTTCTTCATTTTGCATTGATAACATGCATTTCATCTACAATATTTATTTAATTGAACTTCAATGCTAATTTTCCCCTCAAATGCAAATCTCTCAAAATTTAAGTATTGTCTTTGTAATCTGGTCAATTTTTAAGATATCTTTATTTTGCCTTTTCTCATATTTATTTTTGTTTGAAACGTTCTTCTCCCTCCCCCCTCCCTCCCGTCTCTCTCTTGGCCTTCGAACAAAATGCTTCCCAACCTGGTTTCTGACACATATATTGGACCGTAAATCCCATCATGTTTAGGCAATATACCCTCTGGCTGTGCTGACTGGACAAAATGGGATATGTCATCAACACATTTGGAAGACACTAGGTCAAGAGAACCTGGGTTATTTGATATATCGCTAATAATTTTTTTCTTATTATTCTGACAGCTGCATTACAGGCACTTAAAAGAAAAAAGAGATATGAAAAACAGTTGACGCAAATTGATGGGACGCTTTCTACTATTGAATTTCAACGTGAAGCACTTGAGAATTCCTACACCAACACAGAAGTTTTCAAAAATATGGGCTATGCAGCCCAAGCTATGAAAAAAGTACATGAAAATATGTAAGTTCAAAAGCATGTCAACAAGAGTCCATTAACTCTTGTTGGGCATGTAAGTCGTCATTTATTTTTGTATTTCTCTCAGCCTGTGTGTGCATGTTGGGTTGTTGTTTTGATTCAGTCTTCTAATATTGTGGTAAGGTTTTGGAGACATGATTGTGATGGATTGATTGTTTTGCTAGTTATGCTTTAAGTCTAAGATTCATTCCCCCGTTGGCATTTTCACATGCCCTGTGGCTGTCCAAATGAATGTCAAGCTGGGCCAGAGCAATTATGAATCTGAGTTGTGCAGGCTGAGGCCCCACTTCAAATAGACCTGCACGTCAGCTGCCCCGAGGCTCCTTCAGGTAAAATGTCAGTTGTACAGCTGAGCTTTATGGGCACCTTTCCTTTACATTTTAAACTATCAGCTGTCCTCTTTGGTATGGGAGGAACTATTGGGTTGTTAAGGTATTGCTGTGTCTTATATATGGGTCTGTCTTTAAAACCTGATCAGAATCTTATAGCTATTAGGATGCTTACTTGGACTGGTCACCAAAAGCATAACTTAACTGTAGTAAGTAAAACAAACAAACAAACCTCATATGCTATTGATTTGTTTCCATGCCCAGTTCAAACAATTGGTGCATATACAAGTCAAAGATCCCTTAGAATTCTGAAATTCAAAATACTCTGAAATTGTCCACATGAGCATCTGATTGTGGTACCTTTGCTTTATCATGGGTCAACTTTTTAAGTGCACAAAGATATTTAAAAGGTTGTCTAGAAGTACTTTCAGGTTTTATGTATAAGCCTATAAGGTATACAAGCAGTCCCCAAGTAGTGACCAAGATTGGTTCGGTAGGTTTGTTCTTAAGTTGAATATGTATGTAAGTTGGAACAAGTACATTTTAAGTGTGACTCCAACCAAATAGATAGATAGATAGATAGATAGATAGATAGATAGAGAACAAACGAACATAGGGAAGAGTTTATTTATTTATTTATTTACTTAGAGCTTTTATAACCTGGTCTTCTCTACCTCCGAGGAGGGATTCAGGCTGGCTAACAACAGAGAATCAATATACAAATAAACTAAAGCATAATAACATCAAAGTACATTAATACATTAAAACACATTAAAATACAGATCAAGATCAAGTTAACACTCCTGTGGTGTTTGTGTTGCTGTCTGTGCCCTTGTTCAGAAGATTTCACCTTGCTCTCTGTCCCTGTGATAATTGGATTTTGAAAAATTAGGCTTGTTGTGGAAACAAGGATTGGTGAGAAAGCTTTAGTGATAACTCTTTCAGGAATGAATTTTCTTTCCAAGGGGTAGATTTCTCCCAATTCCTGTTGTCTCAGCCCTGTTCTTAAATATGAGTTGTTTGTAAGTTGGCTGTCTATAATTCAGGGCTTGCCTATATATGAAATTTACGTTTAGATTTGGGTCTTATTTCCAAGACACCTCTTTATGTGTATATGCAAGTAATTGTACAGGTATTCCAAAAGGCAAATAAATAAATCTGAAAGCCCGAACATCTTTTGTCCTAAGCATTTTGGATAAATGATACTCAACCTATACAGTATTTTAAAGTTGTACTGCGCAAAGTCTGCTACCTGGGAACTTGGAGGAGTTCTACAACTATTTAAATCTTCTCTGACATTGGTTTTGCAGATCTTTCTTTGAGTATACTAGGCATCTGAAATGTGGTAATGCCTAAAAGGAGGCCCTTACTTTTGTGGCACCCTATTTATGGCATTTTCTCATTCAGGAGTCTCACCTGATTTCTAAGCTAATGTCTTCTAGACAACTTGTGAAGGCTTTGTTGTTTTTTCAAGCTTTTACCATCTTCGAAACTAACATCTAAACTTTACTGATACTTATTATATTGTTTCTTGATAGGCGCTTAGTTTATACTTCTTTAAGGATTTTTGCTACTCTGATATTATTGAAATGTAGATTCAAAAACACTCAGTAGCATGGATTTTCTTTGTTTCCTTGTCCAGGGACTTGGACAAAATTGATGACATGATGCAAGATATCACTGAACAGCAAGATATTGCTCAGGAAATTACAGAAGCTCTTACAAGAAAAATGGGGGATGACTTTGATGAGGTGGGTGATGAAAGTTAAGAGCAATAAGTGACTGCAGCCTGAATATTACAACACTTTTTTGTGCTTGATAAAAATTGTGTCACTCTCCTTAAAATCTTTTGTAGAAATTGCCTTTTCAGAATTTTCAAAAAGTGTGAATGGCTGTCCCTGTCCCCCCCCCCCCCCCAATCCCTCTTACCTATAAAGTGTTTTGAAATTTTAATATAACAATTTCTGTATGGATGTAAATATATTTAAATTTCCTTCTCAGGCAAGAACATATAATGCTAGCATTTTTGTTGCTGTGAGAAAATTCTTGAAAATTGCTGTTTTAAAATATATTGAATAGATGCAAAAATGCCTATAGGGTTTTTTGTGCAGAATATGTTGCTTTCTACACAAAAACAATTATGAATTTATCTCACACAATATAAGTCAGAAAGTATTAATATTCTTGTTCAACTGGGATTCTCCTTTTCAACAGAAGAAGCCCATTTCCAGTGACCTTCAATGATTAAATGTACAATAGTCCCTGATCAAACTCTGCATAAAATGCCCTCAGAAGCACTTTATTTTACCTGTTAGTGCAAGTAAACCCTACCCTACCTTATCCCCCGGATCCCCTGTCCTGATACATTACAATGACCTCTCACCCAGTGTTTTAAATTTTAATCTTGTCAATTGGCCTTGCTCACTGTGATCAATTTTATGTGTTTTAATGTCCTGATTTTATATTGTTGCTCTGTTTATTTATATCAGTTTTTGTTTCTTGGGTTATTTTTATTTTCTTATTTTCTGTTGTGTTTTTGTATTATTGTTTACTGTATTGCTGGGCATGGCCTCATGTAAGCCACCCTGAGTCCCTTTGGGAGATGGTGGTGGGGTATAGATAAAGTTGTTGTTGTTATTATTATTATTATTATTATTATTAATTTATTTATTTATTTATTTCCAACCATTAAAAAGAAATCTGGTTTACTCATAACTTGGTTAACCAGTTAAAATTCTTGAATAAACCAGGTTTCGGTAGGGGGATTTAGAATATTTTTGGAGGAGGGGAGTGTGACCCTTAACTCCCCCCCCCCCCCCCCCGGGCTACAGCCCTGTCTCTCCATCCCTACTTCCCTGACAATTTGTCTGGAATGGGTTCTCTATTTTCACTGGAAACACTGCAAGTAACTGTTTGCAAGGTTGTTGTTGTGAAAGTATATTGCAGTGAGCAATTCTTTATTTCTTGAAATTTAATTTCTTCTCAGGATGAGTTGTTAGCAGAACTGGAAGAACTTGAACAAGAAGAACTCAATAGTAAAATGACCAATGTCCGATTACCAAGTGTACCTGCTACTCCACTACCTACCCATCCTGGTAAACCCTTCTCTCTCTTTTAAAAAAATGCTTATTGTTAATATATAGTATAGAAACAATCGGTATAAAGAAATGAGAGATCACAATATCTGCATTACTTGGTTTGATTGAATTGTCTCAGATTAGACAAGATAGAAGTATTGCTGATCAGTAGGAAAACCATACTGAGATTCAGATCACAGCCTGTTCCAAATAGGGTTGCATTCTCTCTGAAAGATCAGATACATAGTTTTGTGGTGCTTTGGACACTGTAGTTTGCACCTTAGGCCCCTTCCACACAACTGAATAAAACCCACATTGAACATTATATGGCAGTGTGGACACAAATAATCCAGTTCAAAGCAGATATTGTGGATTACCTGCTTTGATATTCTGGGTTATATGGATGTGTGGAAGGGCTTTTAGTTACCTCTTGATTAGACTACTCTTAATACACTTTACATGGGGCTGCCCTTGGAATGTGTTTGGAAGCTGCAGCTTGCATCAAATGCAGCAGCCAGATTTCTGTCATCTGCGCATTTTACAGACCAGAGAACATTGGTACTGCAAGTACTACACTGGCTTCTAATTTGATTCTAATTTGATTTTGAGCATGATTAAGGTTGTTGACAAAACAAAGCCCTACATGACGTACTTAGAGCCAGGATATCTCAAAGACAGATTCCTCCCATATGAGCCTGATAGAAATTTTGGAGGAGGCCCAACATTTTATGAAGTTAGATTGGTGGGTAAATTTGACAGAGCTTTCTTAGTAGCAGTGCCTGCAGTGGAACTCCCTATGCATAGAAGTTAGGTTGGCCTCATCTCTTTTAGCTTTCAAGCAGACAGCCAAAGTAGTGCTGTTCTCCATGGCATTGTTAGAAGTTGCTATTTTAATTGTTTTAAAAGTGGATACTCGTGTTGTTTTAGACTGTTTTTTGGAATTTAAAAGTATACTTTAATGTTTTCTTAAATGTTTTATCTTTGTCTTGCTTTAATTGGTTTTTATTTGTTCATCATCCTGGGAGTACTTGTGGGCTGGGAGGTCCCAAGAAAGCAAGGCTAGCCCCATTTCTTTTAAGCTTTGGCAGACAGCCAAAAGAGTGCTATTCCACATGGCATTGTTTGGAAATGTTGTTTTAAGTGGTTCAAAAATTGATGCTAGGATTATTTTTAGCCTGCTTTTAGGCGTTCTAATAAGAGTACTTCTCTGCAGTCTTAGTGTTTTTTCTCTGCTGTTTTAACTGGTTTTTAATTCTTTCATCGCTTTTGGAGTTCTTTAGGGTTGGGAGGTGATATGGAAATGCTTTAAATAAATACTTATTTTGTTTTTGGACTGTTGGCCTACCCAGCTGTGGTAAAAGTGTCTGTGGTTTTGCTATCTTTGCATGCTCTGCTTAGCTCTTTTGCTTGTCAATACATCCTTGTAAGAAGCATGATAATTTAAATAGTAGTCCTCCTTAATAAGTCATTGCTGGGAAGTAAAGAGACAAATCGTTTGAGAGTGACTAAACAAAATTAAACAAACACCTCCAAATGACATCACGGGTAAAAAGTTGCCTTTCATGAAGCTCATCAAAATGAAGATTTAGTGATATGAAGATTGATCTTAGAAAAAATTCTTTTTGGGGTATGTGTTCATGTGTTTGAAAATCTCTAGATCAGCCCGATGAGCTGTCTATAGGAATGGTTTACCAGGATATTTGAATATTAAAGTGTATGAAGCTGTAATTTTTTGAACTGGTATTTATTTTCATTCATTCTTCAGCTGCCTTTTAAGAAGGCAGTCACCTGAAAGTGACTTATAGTATAAGATTGGAATGGAGAATGGATTCCCTCTAGAACAGTGGTTCTCAACCTGTGGGTCCCCAGAAGTTTTGTCCTTCAACTCCCAGAAATCTTAACAGCTGGTAAACTGGCTGGGATTTCTGGGTGTTGTAGGTCAAAATGTGGGGATCCATAGGTTGAAAACACTTCTCTAGAATCTGTTGTAGGATTGCAGCTTCCAAGATTCTTTTTTTGATATTACTAGTTTGTTGTTAGATTACGTCTTGTAATTTGCACCTATCCTCTCCATGTTGTACACCGCTGTGAGTCGCCCCTGGGCTGAGAACAGCGGTCTATAAGCACACTAAATAAATAAATAAATAAATAAATAAATAAATAAATTCTTCAGATTTTGGCAATTCTATTTTAAGTGTGATGGCTGTTGCAGTTCCACAGTCTCTGTAGAGCTGCATATTCCCCCTCCTTGATTAGGGCAATCCAATTCTAAATTAGAAACAAGTACAGTTCTGCAAATAAAAAAAACCCCAAAAGTTTAAAACAAACTGAAAAAAACCCAGCATATATAATTTAAAGAACTCAAAAACTCTAAAATCAGGACGGTAAATAAAGAACAATACTCAGAAAACAGGGGAATTCCAGGCAGGAAACAATCAGGGCCAGCTAACACCTTCTAACAAGGATCCCCCAGGCAGAAAGCAGCCAGGCTTTGAAGCTGCAAGGCCATTCAATGCTAATCAAGGTGACCAATTGCAACATTCACACTTGCCTCTAACAGACAAGAGTTCTTTCTCCCACCCTGGACATTCCACAGATATATAAACCTCACTTGCCAGTTTCCAACAGACCTCACAACCTCTGAGGATGCCTGCCATAGATGTGGGCAAAACGTCAGAAAAGAATGCTTCAGGAACATGGCCATACAGCCTAGAATACTCACAGAAACCCAGTGCTTCCGGCCATGGGAGCCTTCGACAACACAAACCAAATAAGCTTTTGAAATCCTCTTTAAATCAAGAAATATAGGTTCCCGAAGTCAGTTTTTGAAGTTAAACATAATTGCTCTACTATATTTGCACTTACTAAGTAATTTTGCTTCTGTGCAGGTGTTTGCTGCAAGGCACAGAAATGTTGTGTGACATCTTGTTTACAGATTCATAATCTAGATTTATGAATGACTGATTGCTTCATATATTCATGACACTACTGCCATGATTATAAATGTTTCCTAAATGCCACTATAAACTCCAGGGAGCAAGCGATGGACGTCTGCTTTTCTGGAAATTGGATGATATTTCCAGCCAGCTCCCAGCAAGCAAGGCTATAACAATCAGAAGCAGGACCTCTGATACAATTTTTCATTACATTGTGGATTGTTTGTGGTGTTGTGTGGGACATCTGCTGGGCCTGGTTGCCAGCAGAGCAGATTTTCATCACTCAGTGTGGCTGATGGTTATTAATATCGGTTTGTGGAATGGGCCAGCAGCATTTGTATCATAGTTGACTCTATGGGCTCTTGGCCATTACCCTTCGTAGGATCACATCTGGTTTTGTAGGTTGTGGTTAAAAATATTTTTTTCAGATGTGTGATTATCTCACACTGTTACACGGAATGAGTGCCCATGTGCTCAGAAGACTTGTACATGGTGATATATTACAATGCTGAAGTCATGAGTCATGGTATAATCAGCATTAGCCAAAGTTGTTATTTGAGTACTAATTATCTTCTGCTGAGTATTCTCACTTGATACCAATGAGAAGACAAGTTAATAGAACATGATGTAACAATGTGTTACATGCTTAGATAGAATCATTCCATGGATTTATAGATGAGTGCTAAAATGTGCTGAATAACAACACCACAGAAAGGTTAGTAAAAAAGTAATTACAGACCAAATCTTTTCGTTATTTGCAAGCGAAGCAGATGTGTTGAATCAATATGATTTACCTAGATGTCAGATCACCATTCAACAATGGAGCCCCCGGTGGCGCAGTGGGTTAAACCCCTGTGCCGGCAGGAATGAAGACCGACAGGTCGCAGGTTCGAATCCGGGGAGAGGCAGATGAGCTCTTTCTATCAGCTCCAGCTCCTCACGCGGGGACATGAGAGAAGCCTCCCACAAGGATGATAAAAACATCAAAACATCGAGGCATCCTCTGGGCAACGTCCTTGCAGACAGCCAATTCTCTCACACCAGAAGCGACTTGCAGTTTCTCAAGTCACTCCTGACACAACAAAAAAACAACAACAACCATTCAACAGCTGATTCATAGTATTTACTCTAGTAAATCAATGCGATTTAGGTTTATATATGTATTTTGCTATATTTCTACAAGATACCCTATAATTATCCAGATGGATGCTTAATAACTTCATAGAAATAGAAGGGTATTTCTAGAATATGCAGAACTTCATGAACAGCATTTAAAGATCTGTTTTCTTAGGCATAAATGTATCTAGCCATTCTCTGTTGCTCTTAGTCTCCATTTGACGTTGTCATTTTATGATACCTTTCCATTCGCTGACTAACCCTATGATCATGTCAACATATAAAGACAGGTCAGGAGCAAGCATTGAGACAGAATACACTACATGAAAAGTAATAATTGGCAGAATTTAGGACTGTATGAACCTTTGGAAATGGTATTGGGCACTTGAATCTACTGTATATACTAAGTTAAGGATAGGTTTTGCATACCTATTGATAAATTGGGAGGCATTTTGTATAGAAGGGAAAGCAACCACCGTTTCTCTGGCTAGACATTCTTAAGGCCGGAACAGAGGAGAGTAGGGGTCAATGCTTCTTTTAAATTCCCTCAGAGTTGACTCAGTGCTTGCTTCTCTCTACTTTACTCAGATAAGAGGATTGATATATAGATATAGATATAGATATAGATTAGGGCTGGGTAACAACGGAAAAAATTGTTTCTAAACTCGTTTTGTTTTTAGGGGGTCCATTGCGTTTCGTTTTTTAAAAGAATTCCGAATTTTTTCTTTAAAAAAATTTCGTTATTTACGAAATTTCGTAAATTTCGAATTGATTCGTTAATGGCGGACGCGATTGCGCAATACGCTAAAAAAACCTCCAAATGGGACAGGGGGAACTTCTGAAGCTTCCCTCTCCCTCTGTTGTTGACTGTTGGTGTGATAATTTATTTTTTATCACTGATAAAACAAACAACAACTATAAAACTTGCACCAGACATACGGAAATAATAACGAAACTATTTCGAAACGATTTCGAACCAATTACGAAACAATTACGAAATAAATTGAAAAATTCATTTCGATTTTTAATTGCTCCTGCATGGCTCAATATCGGATCGTAAGCTAATTTAAATATGAATCAATAACGAATTACGAAATTAACGAACGAAACTGCCCAGCCCTAGTATAGATATATGGAGTATAGTGTCTAGATCCAGGGAAGTTATGCTACCCCTCTATTCTGTCTTGATGAGACCAAACCTGGAATGTGTCCAAACAAGGGCGACTAAAACGTTAAAGGGTCTGGAGAACAAGCCCTATGAGGGGTGGCTTAAAGAGCTGGGCATGTTTAGCCTGTAGAAGAGAAAGCTGAGAGGAGACATGATAACCATGTATAAATATATGAGGGGAAGTCATAGGGAGGAGGGAGTAGAACAATGGCTTCAAACTACAGAAAAGGAGATTCCACCTGAACATTAGGAAGAATTTCCTAAGTGTGAGAGCTGTTAAGAGTGGAACTCTCTGCCCTGGAGTGTGGCGGAGGCTCCTTCTTTGGAGGCTTTTAAACAGAGGCTGGATGGCCATCTGTCGGGGATGCTTTGAATGCAATTTTCCTGCTTCTTGGCAGGGGGTTGGACTGGATGGCCCACGAGGTCTCTTCCAACTCTATGATTCTATATATAAGGGTCAGCCATTTATAATGTAATATCTCTTAATTTGTTTTGAGGGCTGTACATTGTAGTATTTGTTTATGTTTTAGTTTTTATGTCTTAATGGATTGTTCTTGTTTTATTTTGATACTTAATTCCTTTGTTGTAAATTTTCTGTTGTTACTCTCCATTATTTTTTTACTGTTTTGATGTGCCTGTACCCGTTTTGAGGAATTGAATGTTTGCCTTTTTATGTGTAAACCTCTCTGAGTCCTTCTGGGGAGAGAGGGGGATCTAGAAAGTAAGTTTTATTATTATTATAATGTACAATACTCACATTGATCCCTGAATAAGTTAACCCAGTTTTTGGGGGGTTAATTTTTTAAACTAAAATTTCTAGACTTGTACATGTGTATATAGGGTGAGTCTTCATTTCAGGTCTAACCCTATGGAATGGAAACAATATGGATAATGTGCCTTCTTCCGGTGCCACAGAACATGTCATCTGTTTGATATGGTTAGAAATTGGATTGGCTGCCTTATTATCTAGACTTCACGTTAAATCATCTAAATGGTGCCTTGTTAGTACTAAATAGTAATTACTTGTCTCTCCCTACAGCATCTTCAAGGAAGAAAGTGGAAGACGATGATGATATGAAGCATTTAGCAGCATGGGCGTCTTAACATTGGTTCAGTGGATGCCATGGAAGGACCTCATGAATCGTGTTTGGTTGGGTCTCATACAGACCAGGACTGGCCCTTGGTGGGATTTTGTAGGGTTTGTGTAATATATATACATATATTATATATTTTGAAGAACTCACATTATTCAAGACCTGTTGTTTTAAAAATGCTCTTTATCATTCAAATGTAGCCTTGCCTCTTTTTACATACATGGAAGAAGTTGGATATTTTTTACATTACAGATAATAATTGATTAGGTAGTGTGTTTCTATGCAGTATTATCCTGTGACATGGAAGATGTATGTGGATATGACTTAAGTTGCATTAAGGCAAATTAGTCCAGAGAGTTTATTTGTGCAACTTTCACAGGCTGCTGCTATCCACTTTAGTCTATACTAACTTTTCCCGAGGACATGAAGGCTTAAACATTTGCTGCAAAAGATAGCATGACAAGGGTTACTGAAATCTTCTTTCCTAGAAATTTCCAAAAAATATTCAGATTGTTGGGAATATGAAACCAGTAGGGTTCACTAACCTCTGTTCAAATTCTGCAACCATTCTGCACTGTTGGCTTTCTTTGCTTTAGGGAGGGTTTTCCCTTCACACAACTACTTGCTTGCTTGCTCAGGTCTCTGCATGGGAAAAAATGAAGTGTGGTGCCTTGAAGATTAAAAGTGCAATAGTAATCCATAAATTTACTGGGTCTTTGTCTGGAAAGCTGCTGTAGGCTGGAGGTCTCCTTGCAAAGAGGAGCTTCACAATCAAGGAAACATCACTCATCTATAGCCTTCTAAAAGCTCAATTGAGCAATGCTACCTGTGATGTTTCCACATGTTGTTATACCTTGAAGCAAGGTGTTTAGTGTCGTGTCAGAGATGGTGCACCTTCTTTTCCCTCTGAGAAGCTTCACAGTTGGGACCATCAATTATCCCAGGCTGAAAATAAAGGAACTCACTCCCTCTTTACTAGTCGCAGTGGGAAGAAATCCTAAATAATAGGGATCCATCCTCTGGACACTTCCCCTCTCATACATATTTCCTGACCTGATTGGTGTGATCCTGAAGGGCTTTCGCAATGGCAAATCATTAGCTACTCATCCTTCAATTTCCTCACCTATCTCTCTTTAGTTCTGCTCAATAATATAGCTTACTTCATCTGGAGCCCAGCGTATATGGAAAAAAATAGCTGAAGCTTAGGTCAGTAGACCAAATCTAAAGCACTGTGCAGTTTAAAACACAGGGTGCAATGCATTAAAAGTTAGTCCTGTTGTCCCTCCACATTGGTGGTATTGACCTTTGTTGATTTGATTATTCATGAATTTGAGTAAAATGTTATCTCTAGTAAACTGTAGGACCTCCAGTGCAATTCTGTGGTCAACTTCCAGTGGAAATTAACTATAAAGTCATTCTGAAAGACCCAGAAATGCCTAGAGGTATTCTCTCAGGTAAACAAAAAGTATTCATGTTTTGTCACTTTCATGTGAGTTCTGAGCCCCTAACTCCAGTGAATATGGAAGGTTAATTGTAGTAGCAAAATGTATGCCAACTGGATTAATTCAGTTTTAATACAAGTAATGGTAGGAGCAGTTCTGTTGTTAGGCAGAGCGAGACCCCTCCTTTAGGTGGCAAGTGGGGCCAAACACCAGTTTAGCACAAGCTTCTTGTCTAGTGCACTTATGAAGGAACATACCATCCCAATGCCAGTATTGAAGGAAGATTCAACTTCCAATGCAAATGTACATGGAACTGAGGGGGAGTGCCATATAATCATCTCCACAAGAGAAAAAGGTCTTGGTTTGTCACTGTCTCATTTGGAGTGCTGGAGTGAGTGTCATATAATCAAAGGGTTGGAAGAGGAACCATAGGATTCATTCAGTGCCTTGCAGGAATATACAACCAAAAGGCTCCCAACAGGAAGCCATCAAACCTCTATTTACATTGCTCCTTGAATGTTGTGGCCCTGATTTAGTGCTATAAGCTAGTATTTTTGGTACAGAATAATGGGTAGGATCAGGATGCATGACTTCTATAGATTCCAACACACATAATTGAACTGGATGCCAAAATAAAGAAGAAAGACTGGATGCCATAATGTCTTTCTCAAGAGTGCGATACACAAACCAATCATTACTATTTGGAATACATATTCCCCACTAGAGCTTATGCGTGGTTACATGTGATTATTTTCATAATTATCTGGCGTTGTCTATACTTTTATAGACTCAAATGATGCTGTAGGGAGCAACTGTTTTGTTTTTTCTCACCCCTTGGATTTTGAATCTTGTATCTCTATCCCTATATAGGAGTTTGCATATAGGATTCCATTGGCCTAATATACATATATACAGGTTGATGTTCCCTTATCCAAAATTATCCACACGAGTGGTTGAGATAATGACATGTTTGTTTTCTGATGGTTCCATGTAGCTTGGGGGGGGGGGGAGCTTGGGGGGCTTCACCCCTCCTCCCCTGAAATTTTCAGAGTGGTCAGTGAGAAGGCCTTACTGGTACATTATTTAAACTGTTATGTTTATTCATATCATGATCTGATCACCATGCTCAATATATCCCATATGCATGGGGGTATTGGGGTAACGATACAAAAGGTTTGCTAAGGTAGACCCTCTTCAGACTCAGCCCCCCCCCCCCAAAAAAAATCCTGGCTACGGGCCTGGTTCCATGTATACAAATGTTGTTCATGCACAAAATTATTTTTAAAATGATTACCTTCAGGATGTGTATATAAGATGTATATGAAGCATTAATAAATTTCATGTTTAAGCTTGGGTCCCATCTCCAAGCTATCTCCTATATATATACAAATATAAGTATTACAAAATTAAAAAAACCCTGAACAACTCCCCCCCCCCCAAAAAAACCCCCTCCAATACCCAAAACACTTCTATTCCTGTCCTTCCAGATAAGGGATTCTGACCCTATAATAATTTTGCATGCTATGCTGCAGGATACCAAATTATGCTTCTGGTGGCAGCCATTCTAATTGTTTTTCAAATTGCTTGGAGAAATTGTGAGATAGGAGTGGAATGAGAGATTTATGTGTGTGCAGCATTGTTCAGTGCATCTTTCAGCCCAGCTATGTACTGTTCATGAGTTTACCCAAGAGTTTGGATAGATATAATATGACATTGATATTCCCTGTAAATAATGTTTCGTAAACTTAACTATCAAAATCAGGCCAAGAATTCTTGCTGCAGAAGAAAATATACAAGAGAGCACCCCCCCCCCCCACACACACACTTCTCTTGTGAACAGAGCCTGACTACAATCACAATAAGTATAGCAATGCTGATGGAATAACATGTTCCATTACACTGGAGGTTAGCAAGCTAGATAAGGGTACACATGGCACATCCCTATATTTGCTGCATGAAATAGCTGCCCTTGACACTAATGGCTGGGCCAGCCCTGTGGATACAATGAGTCCTGTAAGTGAAAATCCTATTACCCAAAACATCATCTGTACTTTACACAGAATCAATGCACATTTTGATTTACAGTCTTGATAAACTTCCCTAATGATTATTTAAAAATAAAAATGCTAATAAAAGTTGTAAAGAATTTCAAGATTTGGGATTATTTTTGTACATTTTATGTAATTTGTTTTTGGATTACCTGTAAAATATCAATAAAAACTTTCAAAACATGCTTGGAAATTCCGTTGGAAACATAAAAGCAAAAGAGAGATCGATTGAGCATCAGGATCAAAACTGGGCACCCTAAAGTTCATCCAGAGTGAGCATTTCAAGTAAGGTTTTTTTTTTTAAGAAAATGTGCTTTCATCTTATTGCAATTCAACTCTAAAAAAATTCCTTTTATCTCTTTCCCTTTGCATAGACATTGTACAGTTTATAACGTTGTTGGCAATATTTATTTTGCTCCAGAAATCAAATTCCAGTTTGGGGAAGGCTTGGAGGGGATACATTTCAGAAGCAGATGAAACAGTTGCTCTGACAGAATTCAAGAGAGATGCAACCAGATGTAACATTTATCAAATGGGATTGTTTCTCACCAAGTATGCAACCCCCCCCCCAAAAAAAAACCCAAAACAAAAACAAAAAACAAAAAAAACCAACCCCAAAGCAAAACAACAAGAAAGCCCAAAAAAGCTCTTCAATTCTGGGTACATCTACTCCAAAGTAAGGCGCAATGAAAAAACTTCTCAACGGAAAATGTTTAATTTCATGCAAGTGTTTCCTGGGGTTTTCATGCGTTTATTATTATTTTTTCCAGTCACTGATTGGAGTTAAACAGCTGAAGTGAATAGTTTATAGCTGAGTGGTAATTCCTGATGTTCAGGGGCTCTTCATTCATAGTTAAAGTATACAGCTTGAATCCAGATTCAGTCATATTTACCTTAGACCAGGGGTCCCAAAACTAAGGCCCCGGGGCTGGATATGGCCCTCTAAGGTCATTTACCTGGCCCTTGCTTAAGGTCTACTTAAGTCTGAAACAACTTGAAAGCACACAATAACAGCAATCCTATCTCATCAGCCAAAAGCAGGCCCACACTTCCCATTGAAATACTAATAAGTTTATATTTGTTAAAATTGTTCTTCATTTTAATTATTGTATTTTAAGTGGGTTTTTTTTGCACTAAAAATAAGATATGTGCCGTGTGCACAGGAATTAATTCATTTTTTTTTATAATCCGGCCCTCCAACAGTTTGAGAGACCGTGACCTGGCCCTCTGTTTAAAAAGTTTGAGGACCCCTGCCTTAGACTTATTAAACTCAACAGGATTTTAGTTAATATTGACTATCTTAAGTCTCATTATTTACAGAAAATCTGATTAAATCTGGATCCAGCACTATGCACAATATTTTAAATTCACTTTACAACAAAAGCAGCCAATTTTTTATTATAAATGTGCATTCTTGATTGTGAGGTTCATACTATTTCTTTAGGAGGGAAATACTTGTCTTTCCACACAAGCCAAATGGCATGGGTAAATGACAAGTATTGATTCCTGCAAGAGAGGCAAGGTTTTCTGTAGTGAAATGATGCTACATTACTGTTACTGTGTTGGCAATATTTCTAGAATTCCTTCCTTTCTTTCCTGATTCTAGAAAAGGGAGGCTTTTAAAGCAGAATGTGTTTAAGAATGAGCTAGAGGTTTCGATTGTTTCGACTGCTTTAAAGAGTTTTACTTGGTTGAATAATTGTAT